GTATCTTGGCACGGCTCCAAAGCACTAAAGCTTTAAATAATAATGTAAAAGGGGTTTTCGATTATCTTATCTACTTTATTTCTGTTACCAGGAACGACTTGCTACGTGAACACGCGCCCACACTGTTACACAATGTGCAAATTTATCGAGTCATTCCTGTGACGTCACGGAAATGAACGGAAAGTGTCGAATAGGTCACGGACAGTTACGAAGGTTACGGGTAGACTTGGTGTCTCGTGATTTCAATCTACGTACAATTGCCGAAAGGCCCCGATGCCATTTGGCACACTCGTCCCATTCCGTAATGTACAAGACACCGTGTGGTGTGGAATGAGCCGATATGGTTCGAACTGAAAAGGGTTGCTGACGTCAGGCGTCAGACGTCGATTTCACGGTGCATGCATGAATGACGTGCTTTTATAAAAAAACATTAGGTGATTTTGTGACAGAAAAGTGTTGTAGGGAACACTGTAAGGATAAAGTGGATCGCACTAAGGAACGAGGGAGACATGAGCATGTCTAGTAAAAGAACGAGGGTCTCTGATTCTTACCGCTTAGAAACATAAAATACTAATAACTCCATTTCTGTGTAAGGATACTAGTGCACATTTATAATTCATTTAGTCACGTTGTTACATAGTTACGTTGAAACCAAAATATAAAATATATTAAACGAATTGAATTGACCAAAACTGCGAATAATAGAATATGGCAGATTATGACGGGTGTAACGCATTCTTACGAAATTAAAAAAAATACAAAAAACAAATATACACAAAATATAACACCTCAGCACCCCTTAATACAAATAATTATGAGCCTATGCATGGAAAAAGAAAAATATTTGAAACTGGTGCTTGCGAAATATTGCGCATCCGCCGGTAAACAACTACTGGAAACTCTCAACAGCATTATGCTATGATATAGCTAGTAGAGATGAAACATCAGTGAGCGGAGCTTATACGAACTCGCTGAGCTAGACAACCGTGTTGCTATGCAGGCGTCATAGGGCATTGTTTCCAGAAGGTGCTTTGGAACAAAATCACATAAAATTATGTAAAAGGGTATTATGACGTATTTTTAAATTTTGTGGTTCTATATTCTAAAGGTAGGACAATTATCTAGCAGTTTCAAAGCCAAGAATTGCACAAATAGCACAACCAACTTATGCATTTAGTGCATTACATCGACTATTATGCATATTCACCAAGGGTTCTATTTCTAAAATGTAAGCACAATGGTTTTTGTCCTTGCACTATGACGTCACTGGTGTCAATGAATGACGTCATTTTATCAGAACAATTTCATGTGCAGTTTGTACTGGTGCCAACCGATAAACAAATGATGCCATTAGACCGTATTTGACCCATTTTACGTGCGGTGGGTACATGTGTGTGGTTCTTGTGTTGCGATGCTCAGCCTACTGTTTTAACCCTTGTGGTGCCTGGCCCTCAGTGGGATTAAATCTAATGTGCCGCTCAATCAGCATACATTGTACAGTGTTATGAGAGTGGTTTTTTTGTAATTTGATAATATCATATTGTTAAGTGATAGTTATTATGGGTTATATTGTGTTATTATATAACTGTCTAACAGTCTTTATGAAAATCCAAAATATATATGCACTACATCTATATAGGCATCACAAAATCGAATATTTATGTCCCTCATCTTCCAATTCACAGAATAATTAAATATACTTCACAGTTTTGAATTCATTGAGAAACAAAATTACCAATTATTATTCTGAAACGTCCTCGATGACTATAATCAGAAAGAATGTTTTGTAAAATACGAAAACACGAACGCCGAAGCGACCTGTCCGCCATTTTGCTGGGCGTTTATAAACTTACGTCACACGTAAGTCATATGACAGATGGTCTTTGTCATCAGTACCGAATATCTCGCTGAAATCAAGCGAAATAAATCAGTTGTGAAAACGAACGCAGTGCTCAAATGTTTGAAATGTGAACAAAACAAAGTATAGATTTTGTACTGTGTGTCGTTTTCTCACATTGTGAAAGATTCGTGTATCTATCGTTGCATACACTTGCTCATTAGTTGTGAAATATTCATGGGAAGAGTATCAAAGTAAGAATTTACGAAATAAAAAGGGGTCGTTGTCGGCATTGTTACTGCAGATATGTACCAAAGGTAAATTTCTTTTCACATTCTGTATTTGGACTTTGTTTAGGGTACATTTCTGCATGCAGAAACATTGTGTAAAATCCGTGCTGGCAACGACCCCGGCAGCGACGTCATGACCGACACACAGTGTTTATGACGCTTCTCCCATTTCTGACTATTGCCCTCGGCTACAATGAAAGCAAAGGAAAAAAAAAGCCTAACAACAGGCACATTTCCAGAATCTCTGAAGAATGCTATCATTAAACCTCTCTTCAGAAACAAAACCATGCATATAAAGAGCTATAGGCCGGCCTCAAATCTTAGTTTCTTGTCTAAAGTCATAGAGCGAGCAGTGCCCAAGAGATTAATGGATTACATTTCATCCAACAGTATAACTGACCCATTCCAGTCTGCATACAGACCATTGCACTCTACCGAGACCATTCCCATTAGTTTAGTCAATGATCTCAGAATAATCCTGGACAGTGGTAAAACGACAGCATTAGTCCTACTCGAGCTAAGTGTCATGTTTGATACTGTTGACCACAAGTGCCTGCTACACATACTGGAACATCAAGTTGGTTTCAACGGACTAGCACTCATATTTGAACCAGCGAACACAAGTTGTGAAAGTTCAGAATCATACATCTGACAAAGTAGAGTTAACATGTGGCTCGGTTCTTGGTCCTATTCTCTTCTTGCTGTATGTAAACTCTCTCTCCGCATTTATTGATTCTCATGATTGTGGGCACTATGCCTATGTTGATGACAATCAGGTTACAGGGATTCTTAATCCGCAATCTCAAGCCACTGATATACAGATCATAGATAATTGCGTTTAGGAGACAAATACCTGGATGAACACAAGGAAACTTCAAATAAATGATTACAAAACGGAGTTGTCCGTCCTTGGAAATCCCAAAGAGCTGCAGTAAACTTCCATCTGCAATGTGAAGATTTCCTCATCTCACATTCAACCATCGCCTGTCACTAAGGATCTTGGTGTACAGAGTGTGTATGTTGATGCTAGTTTCTCTTTGGATTCGCAAGCCAACCATCTTTACAAGGACTGCCACTGTTATCTCCGAACCATCAGCTCCATTAGAAACCTCATTACAACAGAATATGCTCATTCTTTGATCCTTTATACTCTCTCGACTCGATTATTGCAACAGTCTGCAGTTTGGCATCCGTTCAATTCATCTTCAGAAACTTCAAAAACTACAGAACTCAGCAGCTCGCATCGTCTGCCTCAAGAAAGTTCATATCACACCTTCACTGATTCATCAAATTCTGGACTGACTTCAAAATGTCTGATTTGTCTGTTGTATATAGTTTTAACTATCTTCTCCTATAGTATTGTAGCACCAACGGGTGATCCTGGCACAGTCAGGCTGGTGAGGCTCACCATCAGCTCAGGGCCCTTGCCCCCTCTACACGCAGCCCAGACACCAAATTGGACTTCTCCCTGGAAACACTGCCTAGTCGAACCCACCAAGAACTATCCGTAGAATATGTAAACCCCCCAACACTGCAGCCTTCTGCATTATCCAGAGTGTCAGAAGGGCTGTGCTCCTGGTGGAGAACCCTAGCACTCTCCTCATCTGCGCCAAGAGATCAGGAGGTACCAAACCAAGGCCACTGAGACAACCAATTAGGCCTCATAATGGCCTAACATTTCAACACTTATGTTGAGCATTCTATTATACTAACGGTAAAATGTAACTGTGCATAACATAAACTTGCGTAAAATAAAAGTTAGTTGAAAAGTTTTAAAAAATAACTCTAAATAGACATGTAACAAAGTACATTGAATGAAATTTGATGTCACGCGTGCATCATATTTTTTTCATAGAAAAACAGCGACTCCTTGCCTTGGGTATGCTGGAGACTGCAATGGCTCAAAATGGAGTGGCCCGACATTTGGTCTCCATTGAAACACTATCTCATCTCCAGGGAGACGTTTTCAACATAATGGGAACACGTCAGCGAAACAACCACATTCGGTTGACCCATCTAAGCAATTGATTTTAGACTCACAGTTTGACTGCTCGGACCATTCCTGGCTTACGTCCAATCAGTTCCAGGACTGTGCGGAATCGACTAAGGGAACACAACTTCCGGCCTCGATAGCATTATGATTTGGGGGACCTTCACATTTCATGGTCGGTAACAATTTATCTTTGTCAATGGCAACCTGACAGGTCTGCGATACAGGGGTGATTTAGCTATTTGAATAATTACATGTAGGGTCGGCGGATCAGATAACCAATGCATTAAGAAAATATTTACATCTACAGGTTTGCGTTAGCTATGAAAACGTTCAAAGTCCATAGCATTGGGCCATATCAGCTTTCTTTCTGCACTGCTCCACAGATTCCGAGAAACAAGATAACAAAGTACCTGTCATAAATCTTCCCCAGGATTAGCTCCGAGTGCAGGAACCCATGTATGTGTTAAGATTATGAAAAAGCGTCGTGTGGGCTAAGAGTACGATGTCTAACTCCTGAAATAAACGAGTAAGGGAAGGCTGCTTGAAATAACCTGAATAAGTCTCAATCATCCGATGTAACACATAAAAGGCAAAGGGGCGATGAAAAGCGAATGTAGTGAATACTGAACTTCAGAGATTTCATGCACACACGCACGCACACACACACGCACACACACACACACACATCAACTACATGTATATACGTTTTAATCTATAAAGAAGGCTTGTGCACTTAACACAAAAAGCTCGGCGCTTTGATCTGAGTTGTATGCAGGTATGCATTGCATACAGATAATAACTAAGTAATGCAATAAGAAACAAAAAATGCATATAACGTGACGTCATTGCACCTGATTAGATACTCCAGATCAAGGCCGGTGGTCATGTGACTCTACAATACTCCAGCAAAAGCTCTTCTGCTCCAGAAGTCCTCCAGCTATAGCATTGGTCACACAGGAGCTATTTCACACTCACCATGCAGGCGGAACGTGTTACAAGTTTCGGTGACAAGCGAAAACGTGTGAGAAATACTGCTGAGGAACCATTCGCTGCCATAGCTCACCTAGATTGTGGTGGAACTGGATTTCTTTCTAGAATTGATGATACCTTTGTTTTGATTACTGCCGGACATTGTCTACAAGAAGAGGAACTTGTCATTACGTTTGGGGAACATTCACCAACATTTCATCCTCTTAAGATCCGAGCTAACAAAGAAACATTCGGCCTCCCGTCAGACTACCGAGCGGAAGATTATTCGGACTATGGTATCATTCTGCTGAAAGACCAAAAATATTTTAAGGAGAAAAATATATATATACCCCTGAAAACTGAGAGTGGACAACGCCCCGTGTTGATGTCCGGCTATCCAGGTCTTGATAGAGCTGAAGAAGGGGTACCCGGATACCCTCCTAGAACCCAGTGGAGCATTCAGGTCACAGACTGCAGGGCAGACGGTAGGTTTCTGCGGTACAAGGATGCAACTACGGGAGGAAACAGTGGCTCTCCTCTCTTTGTGAAACAAAATGGGATCTACGTTGCTGTTGGAATTCATATTGCAGGTTATCCTGAGTAAGTACTGTGGTTTAATTAGTGTTAACGTTGTAGTTCAAACTGATTGTCACCATCACACTGAACCCTACTGAACCATTATTCAATTCACATCTGTGTGCGTTGCAGTGCAGGCGCAAGGTCATTTATACTAAACTGTGTTCATATTTCGTTTCACATTGTGCGTACAACATTTCGTTAAAAAGACACTATTTTTGAATCAGGAGTGTGAATACACAATCCCAATAGAGAGACTTAGTGGTCAAATGTAACACATGTTGTAGGTGGAATTCTTAGTAAAGTACAGATTCTAGTACCTTTGTTGGGCTGGGTCCCATTGATTCGAACCCACACCCTCAGAGTCAGGCACATAATCACCAATTCGAATCCCAGGTCGGACTCAACCCAACGAAACGTATAGAATCAGAATGTGTTCTTTTACTGAGAAAATGCAACCCCAAATAAAACGTGTTACGTTTGTCCACTTTCTTTTCAGCTTTGAAGGCCGGGCGGGACAACTTAGGAATGGCCACAAATTGGCTCTGAAAATGCATTTCTGCAGGGGAAAATAACACAAACAAGCCATAACTGCATGTATTGTTTCATAAATGTCACCACATTACAGTTACACATGCCAAGATACACTTTGGTTATTTGCTTTTCTTTATGGCAGTCTGGGTAACCGGGCCGGGCCACCGGGTAATACTAAAAATGGATTGCAGAATATTAAAACGAAACCTGCACATTTGGGTCGATACACTTCCCGCCTTCACAAATGCATAGTTTGATTGAAAATGTATAGTTAATGGGGAAAAGACCAACACAACAACAAAGTCTACATACCGAGATTCCCGTAGAAAAGACACCGTCTTGTTGTTATGTGTTTTCCTTGATATGTCTATGAGGGAAGGCTGCTTACTTCTCTTAGCGTGTGACATCCTGGGGTCCTGGGCAGGAAGTGACAGTGTTTTGACTGCTTTTCTTTCCTTAATTAAGATATTAGGGTTCCCTAATTAACCTTTATTGTCTCAGGCTGAATCAGCACAGGATGTTTATGTTAAAGAGACGTGGATATGGGCGAATGTCAACCGGCAAATATGACATGATTATGTATATTAAAAGAAATATTTGAAATCACAAACTTTTGTAACATGTTATAAAGGATCAAACAAAGTATGCATTCACAAACACAAAAATTCTTATGTGTTTTCATTGTAAACAATACCAGCCCAAATCCGATAGCCAGCGCGTATGCATATGCTTATATTTACTAATACACATGAAACACAAAATAGTATTATATCTACCTAAATACCACTTCATAAAGTAAAGTTAAAGTGAAGCCCCTTTCTCTCTCCATTCCCAACGATTTAGGAAAATAATGTCCTCGGAAAACAAAATCCGCAATCAAAAGTGTTTAGTCTCTGTTCGGCCCGACTTGGCCCGTGCTGTCAAAAACAACTTAAACCTCACACGTGTATCTTGAAATGTGTTTATATCCATAGATTAGTAATATATCTACCTAAATATCACTTCACAGAGTCTCAAAGCGTAGTATTTGAAGCAAAAACGTTGCTAAAAGTGAAGCTCTATTTTCTACATATTCTCAACAAACAGTATCACAAGCGTTCGGTACGCCTTTGCCCGGGCTCTCAAAAACAACTTAAACCCCACACATGTATTCTGATTTGTGTTTAAATCCATAGATTAGTATTATATCTACCTAAATATCAATGTGTGATGTTACAAAATGCCACATGTAAAGATAACTGCTCCGTTAAAGTGAAGCCCTTTTCTCTCTCCATTCACAATATAGTCTCAATCAAAAGTGTTGAGTCTCTGTTCAGCCCGACTTGGCCCGTGCTGTCAAAAACACCTTAAAACTCACACATGTATCCTGATTTCTGTCTATATCTCTAGAATAAAGTTATATCTACCTAAGTAGAGTCTCAAAGCGTAGTATTTGAAGCAAAAACGTTGCTGAAAGTGAAGCTATCTTTTCTACATATTCTCAACAAAGACACAGTATCACAAGCGTTCGGTCCGGTTGGCCCAGCCTTTCAAAAACACCTTAAACCCCACACATGTATCCTGATTTGTGTTTAATTCCATAGATTAGTATTATATCTACCTAAATATCAATGTGTGATGTTACAAAATGTCACATGTAAAGATAACTACTCATTTAAAGTGAAGCCCTTTTCTCTCTCCATTCACAATATAGTCTCAATCAAAAGTGTTTAGTCTCTGTTCAGCCCGACTTTGCCCGGGCTGTCAAAAACCACCTAAACCTCACACATGTATCTTGAAATGCGTTTATATCCATAGATTAGTATTATATCTCCCTAAATATCAATGTGTGATGTTACAAAATGTCACATGTAAAGATAACTGGTTCGTTAAAGTGAAGCCCTTTCCTCTCTCCATTCACAATATAGCCTCAATCAAAAGTGTTTAGTCTCTGTTCAGCCCGACTTGGCCCGTGCTCTCAAAAACACCTAACACCTCACACATGTATCTTGAAATGTGTTTATATCCATAGATTAGTATTATATCTACCTAAATATCAATGTGTGATGTTACAAAATGCCACATGTAAAGATAACTGGTTCGTTAAAGTGAAGCCCTTTCCTCTCTCCATTCACAATATAGCCTCAATCAAAAGTGTTTAGTCTCTGTTCAGCCCGACTTGGCCCGTGCTATCAAAAACACCTTAAACCTCACACATGTATCCTGATTTCTGTCTATATCTCTAGAATAGAGTTATATCTACCTAAGTACGTCTTTATAGAGTCTCAAAGCGTTGTATTTGAAGCAAACACGTTGCTTAAAGTGAAGCCATATTTTTCTATACATTCTCAACAACCACACAGTATCACATTCATGCTTTCGGTCCGGTTTGGCCCGGGCTCTCAAAAACAAATTAAACCCCACACATATGTCCTGATTTGTGTTTAATTCCATAGATTAGTATTATATCTACCTAAATATCAATGTGTGATGTTACAAAATGCTACATGTAAAGATAACTAGTGAAGCCCTTTTCTCTCTCCATTCACAATATACTTGGCTAATGTTTATCATAGATATTCTAGATAACTGTGGATAAACACTGCTGTCCTCAATGACTGAATGTAATCTCATTCGCAACTACCAAATTTGCAGACATATGACTTGCTGTGAAATAGCTATGGTAACGGATGTTTGCAAAAACGTGATCAAAGTCTGTCTCACCACAGGTATCTATGACAAACTAATCAAACGAATCGATAACATATGGTTCACACAAAAGCCAAAAGGGAAACCATGGTACACTGAAAATAGGCCAAATCATCCGCTACTTTTGTGGTTGTTGCAAACTATATTTGATTTACACTGCTTAAATAGCTTTTAAATGTACCATCAAATCTCTTATAAATTTAAGTTTTCCGTAAGTTTACCAAACAAAACGTAAATAATCTTCAGGTTCCATATTCTTTCAATTAGGTTTCCGTTTTCCTGAAATTAATTTTATTTTATGTGACAATATCTTTTATTTGAATTCTGATGTAAAGAAACACTGACATCACGAAACTAAAACCTATATAATACATAGGCAGTTTAACGTAGGTTAATGTAGGTTTCTGGATATATGCATATGGAGTCAAATATATTTTTCTACGATCGTTTCATTCAAGTTCTCACTAATAGAAACCATCAATGATGGTTTCCAGTTGCTTTATGCAATGGAAACTAACAATGATACATTACTGTCAGTTTCCATTTCTGGAAACTAACCTTGTTTGTTTCCGACAGTTTTCAGTCGCTGAAACTAACCGTGTTAGTTTCAGCAACAGGAAACTGCCGGAAACAAACAATCATAGTTTCCGTGAGCGGAAATCTACATGATTCTGGCATTACCCAGTTTCATGTAGGTTTCCGGAAATCTGGAAACCCTGTTATTTTTGCTGTGTATAGTCTCAATCAAAAGTGTTTGGTCTCTCTTCAGCCCGACTTGGCCCGTGCTGTCATAAACACCTTAAACCTCACACATGTATCTTGAAATGTGTTTATATCCATAGATTAGTATTATATCTACCTAAATATCACTTCACAGAGTCTCAAAGCGTAGAATTTAAAGCAAAAACGTTGCTGAAAGTGAAGCCCTATTTTCTATACATTCTCAACAACCACACAGTATCACAGTCATGCTTTCGGTCCGGCTTGGCCCGGGCTCTCAAAAACAACTTAAACCCAACACATATGTCCTGATTTGTGTTTAATTCCATAGATTAGTATTATATCTACCTAAATATCACCGTGTGATTTTACAAATGCCACATGTAAAGATAACTGGTTTGTTAAAGTGAAGCCCTTTTCTCTCTCCATTCACAACATAGCCTCAATCAAAAGTGTTTAGTCTCTGTTCAACCGGACTTGGCCCGTGCTGTCAAAAACAATCTAAACCTCACACATGTATCTTGAAACGTGTTTATATCTATAGATTTGTATTATATCTACCTAAAAACGTCTTTATAGAGTCTCAAATCGTTGTATTTGAAGCAAACACGTTGCTTAAAGTGAAGTCCTATTTTCTATGCATTCTCAACAAAGACACAGTATCAAAAGCTTTCGGTCCGGCTTGGCCCGCGCTCTCAAACGCACCTTAAACCTCACACATGTATCTTGAAATGTGTTTAAATCCATAGATTGGTATTATATCTACCTAAATACCTCTTTATTGAGGCTCAAAGCTTTGTACATGTATTTGAATCTAACACGTTGCTTTAAGTGAAGCCCAGTGTTCAATCTGGCTCTGTGCGGGCTAATGAAATTAATACACCTGTTAATTACACCTGTATTCAGCTTGCTTAATTGCCTCTTGTCTAACTGCAATCAGCTAGGTGTTGTGATTCAATTAACATACTCCATTGTTGCCCTTAATTACCGTTCAGGGGCCTTAAGTGTTATTGATTACTCCACCGTTTCTTCATTACGTTTATCACAGATGTATATATAATATATAATAGATATATATAAAA